CAGTCACAACTCCTTTAAAATGCCACACTAGTTCAAGAATCGCAAAGATGTGGCATATATCAAGGAGTTTACCATGGTCTTACATTTGGTCAATGACACCAATTTGTCCAATTTAACCTCTCTCTGCAAACTGTTCCAAGTATTCAGAGCAGAGAAAGAGAAGACCTTCTTTCCCATCTCCATCTACAGAGTCACAAGCTGATATATATCCTGTGATCTTAAGTTGGAGTGTGACAAAGAATAATATTAATCTAACAGTTCAAAGTGAGAAAGCCAGGCAGGAAAACAGTTTGCTTCCAGAGTTGTGTTTGCTAGGAGGGGAGGCTTTTTCCTCATATGGAACCAGTATGGTACCTGATAAATCCTTGCTTTATTAAACAAAGAGGGTTCTTGTACATTCAGCACAGTTGGGGTTTTTCCACACCTAAACAGAAATACTCATTATTAGAGCTGGACCCCTGTTAGTTCAGCCTTGGAGCCCAAATTGGCATTTAGCGAGGCAGCAGAATGCTCTAATTGTATGTGATATCCCAAGGCAGAGAGGCCTGATTACTGTAAGGCAGCTAAAGCACTTCACCTCCCAGTTAACAGGCAAAGACTGGGCCAAATGTGCAAAGAAACACTGTACATGCTTCCCTCTCTCCACTAAGAGTGTAAAAAGTGCTTAGATTAAGGATTTTCAGCTTCACTGAAAAATAAACTTCTCTCCCTCCCACTCAATATTTAAATCTGCAGCATAAGTTATTTTTTTCCATCTCAGAGGAGCCCTGAGTCAGACAACAAACTACGCTAACCAAAGACATTAAAAGACCGGTGAGTATCTGAAGTTAAGATGAGACGAGAGATGCCTTCTGCCCCTAGGTTTTGCTGAGTGAACTTCTGGTGAGTCATACAAGCCTGCTACTTGACACAGTGGCTTGATAGTTTTAATGCATGAGACTATAAAGATGTGTTTGACCATTTTACATACATTTGGATAGGTCATTTTGATTATCATGTAGTGGTGCATTTTTTATGAGGCTATCATCCAGATGTATTCCATCTCAGGATTTTAAGGCCCCCGACTATTTGCTAAATAGGCAAATAGAATAGTCGCCTCCCAACCAGAGGGTTGGAGGTTCAAATCTCGGTGCCTGCAGTCCATGTGTCAAAGTATCCTTAGGCAAGACACTGAACCCCCAAGTTGCCCTCCGATGGTTAGAGCTGTTGGCTGCCACAAATTCCTTGTGTGTAACATACTTGGCCAAATAAAGGTGATTATCCTAAACAAGCATAAATTGTCCAGTCGTAGCTTGGCACTGCAGACCGGTCAAGCTTTACGTGGTACCAATAGGGCTGTAGTAAGAACAATGCTCAACATTTAAAGCAGTTTTTCAGGGTGGTCTCATTTTTTCAGCTCTTCCAAAAATAAAAATGCAAAAGAAAAAGTGTAAGGAATGAAAACTATGTTTGTCTGCTCTAATACGAGTTGCAAACATTAGCATGCCAGGCTAACTACTGTAGCTTCTTACCGATAGCAATAACAAGGTAATTAATCATTAATTTACTATATTAGTTTGTGGGGTTTCAAGTAGTGTACATGCCATCTACACTATTTTTCTCCATTCTGTTGTGAAAATTTTGAGCGTACTACAAAATGAATGGATTTACACACTCAGCCTTTGGACACCACCACAAAATGTCTAACGCACTATGCTACCAGTCAAATGTTTGGGCAAACTTTCCCAAAGGTAATGTGAGAATTTTTAGAATAAAGCATGGTTGACTGAATGAAAGATGAAAACATTATCATTCATCACTCCATTTATCATTTGGCATCTGCAGTGCTGTCATTTAGCATTTACTGTTTTCTCAAGTCTTTCTGCTGATTTAGGGTTGTTGGTGTTTTTAACATGAATAAAACAGCAGAGCAAAAAGGGGTTGGTCCAGGAAATATACTGCTGGATAGCAATTATTTAAACAGGTGTGTTATTAAAAATACCAGTCTAAAAATACTTTGTTACAAGTAAAGTCCTGCATAAAAATGTTACTTAAGTGAAAATACAAATCTATTATCATCGAAACATACTTGAAGTACCAAAAGTAAAACCACTCATTATGCAAAATAGCACATTACACATTATTATATGATTGTGCTATAATTATCGAGGCATTATTGTGTACATCACATTTAATCTTGCAGCTGGTAAAGGTGGAACTATTTTTAACTTCCTTATTGCTAATACTGCTGAGTAGCTTGTAAAAAGTCCACCAGGAATCAACAAAGTCTTATGATTATAGTCTATACTTTAATCTGATTCTGAGAAGTAACTGGTAATGAAAGGTATCAAATAAATGTAATGGAGTAAAAATTACAATATTTGACTCTGAAATGTAGTGCGGTCAATGTGTGAAAATAAAAATAATCAAGTACAGATACCGTAAGTGTTCTGAAGTACAGTAACTTAGTAAAAGTACTTAGTTACTTTCCAGCACTGCCTGTGACACATAGTAATCCATAAAGTTCTACATCTGAAAAACAAAGGATTAAAAGTAAAGATGCATTAGAAAAAGATGCTTATCAAATCAAGCTTCTTTTATTTTAATAAGATGTTGGTTATGCTTTTACCAAATTGGATAAGTTTTAATCGAAATTTTGTATTTATCAAAACAAGTAAAAATTCAAGAGAAAGTTCAGTCAGTTTAACTAAACATTCATCTTCCCTATATAATAATGTATTTTTTGAGTTTCACCTCAGGGCTCACTTAAATTTAATGTCTGTGTGGCGTTTGACTTTAAGGTTTTGCATTTAGAGTTCCACTGTGGTGCAACTCTGCCATCCTATAAAGACAGATTTGACTACATAATATAAAACAGTGCAGTTAGCACACCCACACCAGTCATTATACTTTTACTTACAGTTTGTTTCCTGCTTCAAGCATACAGCAGGAGGGCACAGTCACAGTTGGCTAATGGGTTTAACATGCTAATGTGCTTCATTCATAGGATCTAGTGAGTGGTATAATTCACCATACCAACAGAAAAGGTTACTGCCATTTGTATAATGAACTCTATTATCATGTTATCTACCTACAACCATATTACGATTTCTTCCCACAGGCGAGACACATAATCAGTGCTATGAGAAGAATCACAGACATTTTTCTAAGTAACATGTGCCATTCACCTGCATCAGTCCATTGTTCCTCAACTCCCAACAATGTTGGCATGTGCCTCTCAAAACCTCATGATAAACAAAAGAGGGCACCCCGTAGCTGAGTGGTTGCAACACGGCGCGCCACGTACCCCGGGCAGCACACTGCAAACGCGACGTCGGCAGTGTGACTCCGACCACTGGCATTTGTCACAGGTCTCCATCTTAAGAGTTTTTTGGGAAACACAACTGATGAAGTTAGCATCAAGGTGAGACTACAATTAGTCAGTACAGTGTTCTCACAAGTATCTTAGCACACATTTGTGTGTATGCTGGACGGAGGAGAAAGCGAAAGCAAAGCACAAAGAGTGGGGGGAGGTTGGGGGGCAACAAAAAGAAATGTAGAACACAATAAGGAGAAAGAAGGTCAAGCTACAAAAAAAAAAGAATTTGGTAGATGGAAGAAGAAAGAATAAATGAGAGAAGTGTGAAAAATGAGGAAAGGACTGCTGATGTGCTCCTTAAGCAGGTCACTGGATGCAGTGTGCCTTGGGAGAGCTTCTTTAAGCATAGCGACCAGATTTTCTCAGTCCCTGCAGGAGCCATTTCTCAAAGCTACAGTTCAGTGAGGTCCTGTCACATCAGCATGCATGTCGGAGGAAATGGAGCATGTAGCCATTAAGCAACTTCTGAGCTACTGCCTATCAGAGGAAGGAAAGGTAACATTACCAATGATACCGCCTAGCTATTCAAAAAGGACAGGGCTGACTAAAACTGTACTGAACTGCATGCCACCAAGCACACAAATTCAAAACATAAATTGCTTCTCATAAAAGTTGTTGGGACAGTTAAAAGCAAAATAAGTCAATGTTTTCAAATGGGCTCATTTCTTCACTCTGTCAACTGAGGTTTGTTAACAACAACCATATCATCATCATTACCCTGTGATGCAGGTAATTTGGGTGGTGCATCAGTGCAGAGTCTCAGCAGTGATCAAGCTGGAGAATCAATATTTCGGTTCATCGTGTCTGCCTGGGGCTCCTGAGCCTTCTGTCTGTTTCTGATGTGGGGCGCAGAGCCTAGTTTACAGCACACTGGCGAACACTGTCTTTTGATCCTGCTCATCCTCTTATTCACCACTAAAGGGCATCAAGCTCTGTAATCCACCGCCACCAGTCTCTGGCACAGTTCATGGTCGACACCAAAGCCTTGCTGTTCACACAAAGACCCCACTGTTGGGGCTACTCCCGCCTCATACTTCACATAGAGGTGTATGCAGTGCACTCCACAGTCACCCACACAAAAACAAGCTTCGCAGTCTCTCCAAACCTCCTTCTAACCCTGAAAAAAGACATGCATAACACAAAGAGCCAGGCACAGGTTTGTGGATGCCAATTGGTTCAGGGCTCCACATTTGCCAATTTGCACTGAGGCAGGGCTGATAGTGCCATGTGTCTCATGCTGACTTCAATCCACTCTCTGCGCTAGATCGCCTCCCTAATGACAGTAATTGCACTGAGGAAGCCCCCGGTCGTGTTCAATTACCCATTCCCATCCAAGCACATGGGTCTAATCTTGCAGTGTAATGTGCAATACAGATGGCTGTAGAAGGCAGACATATTCATCACCATCTCATCTTAGCAGGAACGTGTGAAATCTGGGAGGACAGCCATGTCACATTTGAATGCGGGGAGAGGTGGAACTGAGTTTTCATTATCCGATAACCTAAAAACTCGCGACTGCAAAGTTTAAATTGTTCTGTCTGTTACAGGATAAGTAAAAAAAAATCTTCCTAGCTCTGAGTGGTTCTTGTTGTTGCCAAATGATGCAAAATCATAAAATTAATACAGTAAAATGAACACTCACCCCAAAGGTTTCTCCAGGCGACTGGCAGGTGAGCCCACAATCTCTCCTAGTGTACAGTAGACCTGGCCCAGGAAGTCCTGCCATGGGGGTAGCATAAAGTGGGATGGAGCGAGACATAGGTTGGGGCAAAGGAAATGGGGCATTCATGTGGATCACAGGGAGTAACAATGAGAGTTAAACATTGTTATAAGCATTGTACGGTTATACAGTATATTAGGACGTCTGGGGCAGACACGTACGTTCGAGTCGGTTGGCTTCCAGAGTTGAGGAGAAGAAAGAAGAGAGAGACCAGGCAGCAGCAGTGACACAACAGAGCATATCATGGAACAGAAGGCACATAACTCAAATACAAGACTATCATCAACCAAGTGTAAGAAAGAAGAGCAAAAATGGATATGTGAAAGAGCAGATAGGCAGAATGGGAAGAACAGAGGGCAAAGAGCCACAGAGTCTCAGGGGAAGAGAAAAGCACAAAAGGAAAGCGATGAAAGTGAAGAGTCGTTCACACAAGTAGCAGTCTGTATCCAGAGCATGAAGCGCAATGCAAAACCACAACAACAAAAGCATCACAGTAACAGAAGCACAGTTAACAAAGAAATATTTGGTAGTTTGCAAACCAGCTGCTGCAAATATATTCCTTATGAGACTGTAGAGTGAGCAGCTCATTTATCAAAGTTTTCAGTGTAAATCATGACACTAACATACATTCACTGAGCTGTTTAGCTGAATGTATGTTGTCCAGTAAAGCACCGTCCTGTCCAGACAGAGCTTCCATTTTAAAATGAATGCATATTGTGTTCAATAACTGTATGCTGTCTTGGACATATAAATCTGAATGGCAAACAACACCAGAGAACACACAGAGAAATGTATTGAAAAGCTTTGATAAAGATGTGTAATGCTTCAATTTCATTTAAAACAATGTAACGAGGGAATGCCAGATGCTTCATTATACTGTAATTATTGTAGCTCTGCAGTAATTTTTTTTAAAACTCCAATTTACAAACTGAAGCAGAAGGGTGGTAAAGAAGAATGAATGTTTTTTGGCAGAAGCATCATTTACTCATATTTACAAAATATATTTGAGCATTAAGATAACACACTTCGGTTTGCACACAACCTAAATATTAAGGACATGCATTCATTTCAGATTTAACGGTAGAATATAAAGTTGAATATAAAGTCTTTACTTACATGCTTTCCCAGATCCGGACTTTTAGAATCAATATCATACCTAAAATCACAAAGACACCACAAATCAGAGGTGGGGGAGTCCAGTCACATGATTTGATTCGAGTCAGACTGAAGTCACAAATTTGAAACCTGCTTGACTAACACTGGTAAAAGACTCAACAGTTTACAAAGAAGAAGGTTTGTTATAGTTGGATAAGAAGGCACATTTATGACCATATCTGGTTCCTTGACTAGAATGCAGAAGGTCAGTGAACACAAGTTGAGTTCAGACTTGACTTAAACTTGAGCCAGGCAAACCAAAATTATTTCACTTTTCTTAGGTTCTTAGCCTTTTTCTAGATATTGAGAAGTTACGTTTTGTTTTTGGAACACAATTGGGTGATTTCTAGTGCAATGCATGCAAACCTGGTAACCCACCAGAACGTGGCAGACCAACAGAGGACAACACAGGATGCAACTAAGAGGGAGGGGACTAGACTAAAAATAATAAAATTTGGATTCAAAGCTTATGTTTTGGATGATGGCAGTAAGAAGAGAACAGCGATATGCAAAGTCTATAGCACAAAAAAATCAGCAACATCCAGCTTCATCTGTCACTACAAAACTCACAAAGAAAGATAAGTACACGAATGTGTAAGTTCGCTAATTTACTGGATGGTCAAACATTAGCTAGAAAACTAACATTAGCATTTTACTGAGAAGAGTTTTTGTTAACCATGCATCAGAAAATCATGGCTTTTTTATTTAATAGCTAATCAAAGGAGGTTTGTGAAATAAAACTCCACTTTTTGTGACCACTGTCTTTTCACCAATTTAAATGTGGAAACTGCGATAGAACAGCAGAATTTTGTATGACGACTTGTCACTTGCTTGACTTGTAATAAGGATTCGACTTGACTTGCTTGATTCTCACCACAGTAACTTGGCACTTGCTTGAGAGTTGAAGTTTAAGACTTGAAACTTGCTTGTGACTTGCACGTGTGTGACTTACTCCCACTTCTGCCACAAATCACAGAGGCAAAGTTGGGAGGAAACAACAGCAGACCTCACACATCGCTAATAACTGCCCTAAAAGGATACTGGCTACATGGATGTGGACATTTTCTGCCTGTCAATCACACCCCTTTGTCTTCGAAGAAGCAAAAAGGAACAACCCAGGAAAAAAAGTGCAAGCAATAATGTGACAGTTAATTAAAGAAGTCATAGAAGAAGTTTATTAATGCAATTTCTCTTCTGTGCCTGGGGATCATAGTGAAACACTCTACCAATACAGAGAAAGTTTTGAGCATCTGCCAGTCAAATGTAATGTAAAAGTAATTAAACTCGAGTATACCCTGGCTCCCACCCCTGTTATAAAAGAGAAATGTAAATGAGTAACACTAACTGTGAGAAAATGCATTCCCTCCCTTCCTGTGCCAGAGTCATACCATGATAGCACACCAGAAGAATTCATTAAGTGTCTAAAAATCCTCAGAGACCTGCAGTGTGGTCCTGGATACATCCTGAAAAGTCCACCAGGGACTTCATGCTTGAAGGGAAAGAAAGTGCAAACTTTTTCGAAGCATATCTCTTCTCCTTGAGGAGGGGCGAGAGTTGACAAATTGACCCTGATCCTTTTCTCAAAATGAAACCACACTTTTTTCTGACCCTCTCACTACTCTGGCCTTTTAAGGAGTGGAAAGGCAGCTATATGTGAAAGAGGGGAGAGTTTTATGGCACCTAGTTTCAGACATTTGCTTTGCCTAGCAGAAGAAAGATTAAGGATAAAACTTTATATGAAATATTTAACACCTTTATACCAATCTCCCTTCAACGAATGAGTATTGAGTTGCTGCACAAATGAATAATTCCTCAAGAGAGAGCCAAGCCAGTGACAAGATAGAGCAAAAAAGCAGACAGACTCAGACAGGGAAAATAAGTGGATGAAGAGATAGATAGAGGATAAGGGAGATGTTAAGCCTGGAGCAGAAGTAAAGGGAGGAACTGGAAGAAAGGGTTAGAAAAGGTTGGCACGTCTGAAACACACACAGCTTGGTGTGTGTCCGCAGAGGACTGGATCAAACTGAATAACTCACACGTCAAAGCGCAGGTTCTGCTTCTCCTCAAAGAAGTAGTCCAGAATGAACTTCCTGACAAAGTCTGGGTTTAGCGTGTTGTCTATCACCTCCGTTCTTCCAAACTAGATCAGAACAAGGAGCAAAAGAAAAAAAAAAGTCAGAGTGTGAATGTAAGTGCAGATCTTTGAGACAACACCATGCAGTCACTCAGAAAATACATCTATATTACCTCATCCCACCCAGCTGTGTGAATTCACAGCTTTGGATAAACTCAGATTTGATTAACACAAGTCAATGATCACACAATGTCAGCTGCTCTTCTCTGCCTCTTGTCATTGTGCTGGGGATGAGCAACCCTAGGGAAAGCACTTAATTGGGGGCAATTACAGTCATTTAATTAATACCACATTCACACCACTGTCACACTCAGAGTCACTTCAAAACAAGGGGCAGGGGAGGTTGAGACAAATGCAAAGAAAAATGGTCGCTTTCGCATTTTGTATTTACACAGGGAAACTCATGAGTGATTGGAAGACTGCAATCTACCTGTTCATGGCGTTAAGAGGAAAATGGGAACCTGCCACTGAGAAATCATCTGTCAATGTTAGAGCAGGCCCTTCTGATGAGGGGCTGTGCTGATAAACAAGTCAAGACAGAAAAACTGTTGCAACTCACAAGCACATTAACTGTATCCAAAATGAAGTGAAAGTCAGAGAACTGATATTAAGCTGCACAAGACCCACAGTAGAAAGCTTACATAAACTGACACAATGAATCAATAAAGGCAGTGTCCTAATGAGGAGATGAAACAGCACGATTACAGGCTCACACCTCTGTGATTACATCCAACACGGGTATAACACAAGTGGGACTTAAGAGGGGAGCTGCACAGAGTAACATCACAGCAGTACATACATTTAACATATATGGACATCTAGGCAAATGCAAAAACAGTCCGACTGTACTGTGTAATATAAGTCAGAGAGAGGGGCTCCTCTATATATAACCAACTGTCAAACATAAGTGTATATAAGCCTATTAAAGTTTAACTATTATGTGGCATCGCCTCGTCCTCACAAAAAGTGCAAAAGCTCAGTTCCAAATGCAAAGGAGGTGAAGTCTCCACCGAGCCAGCAGGAGCCTATTTCAGTGATAGGAGATGAAGGTGGCAGCAGGGGGCCAATAGCATATTCACTTTGGTCTCAAGCCAAACGTAACAAAGGAAGACGAATCAGCAGCAGAGCAAAGAACAGCCACCCGAGGAAATAACACATCTCCCACTCCACATATTATTCATACCTTAGCAACTTCACAGTCAGCCTGTAAAGCCAGAGTTGCAAAAGCACTACAATTACCTGTCAACAGAAAAAAACAACCCTGCTACAGGGATATATGAGCAATGGCAGCATGCACTTCCTCCCGCCCAATAACACCTAACCAGAATAAATTCTGAGCTGAAATGTCAGAAAATTCATTTTGGTGAAACAGAATTACGTCTAGGAGTTTAACTGGATGTGGAAGGGCCGAGCTTTGCTGGAATTTAGGGAGGTCAGGTTGTGTCAGCTGTCCAGTTGAGTGAAAGCGGTCAAAAAAGAAAAACCTGTCACCTACCAGGAGTAACTGCAGATGAGGGAGTCATGCACTAACAAAATATTGGGCTGGAATTAAAGTTTTACATATTGAACCATGAATGCTGACACCGCTTAAACGGGGGCACAGAGCTCAAGAGGAGCTGATGAAGAAATCCTCCTGGAATCAAAAGCACAATTTATCCATGATTTGTTTTAATATTCTTCTGTAGACGGAGAAGTGTGACTGGCTTGCAGCTTATGGGGGTTTGTCCCACAGAAGAGCAACTGGATTATGACGGTTGGAGGCACAGTGAGAGGTGCTCTGATCAGATACTGTATATCTACTTATAAGAGGACAAAAACAACATATTACATGACAGAGCTGAGAAAGAGGTGCTTACCTTTATCAGTACTTTGCAGCTCGACTCTGCTGCTCACTAAGCCAGCTGTCAACAGCAACAGCACAGACCCGTATCTCTTTCAGGGAGTGACAGGGCTGCACCCACAGTTTGTATGCATGAGGTGGGGCAGTGTAACCAGAGGTGACAGGTGTGGGAGACTCTCCGCGCCTGAACGCTTGATGCTCCTCTGCATTTGAATGCTAATCAGTAAAACTACTCTCTGGTCTTGGACAAGAATATCACCGAATTGCCACCTGCACCGAGGTTTATTTTACTGTGAGCCAAAGCCTGGTGACCGTCCTGTGAGCAAAAATTATAATCAGCCAACAAGCTCAAGTGCTATTAGCTCTGAGTGACTGGTATTGCAGAAAAACTTTACAAAGCAATGAAACGTTCAGCTCGGTCAGTTAATCAGCAAATCAATTTAGTATTCAATCAAACATCCAACCAATTCATCCATTAATTAATCACTCAGTGTTCCAAGCTGGGAAACACTTGCAGTCAGATTAACAGAAGCAACAATCACAGATACACTACACACACCAGACAAGTAACCACCATACAAACATACAGAGGACACTTAATAGATTAAAATAACATTAACACATAATAAAGACAATGAGTTACAAAGTGTAGCTCTCTGCATTTTAAATATGAAACACTTGTCTATGTATGTTGTCATATTGCCCAATTAAACCTGGAGAACGAGGACATTTACGAAAGCTGCCACATCATGGACAGTCTTCCCTTCATCAGAGGGTTTTATGAGGCCAATAGCCAGAGGAGGCTCTGACGCAGAGGCACGTCTCTATTGATATGTGTAACTGTCACCTCAATCAGCCACAGCTAACACAGTGCTGGCCAGCACACAAATCTTTGCAGGGTCAATCAATGGCCAGTGACTGGCACTCATAGTGTTTACCTTGAGAGTGAGGCAGGGAGGTGGAGGGCGTACACAGACAGCGAGCTGTCACAGCGAGGACACAGACTGATTCAGTTGTGTTTAGGGAGGGCTATGATATCTTACCTCTCTCCACTGTTTGGACTCCACGCCCTGGGTGTACAGCACAACCACTGAGCAGAGACGAGGTGGGAGTGATGGTGAAGAGAGAAAGAAAAAGAGGAACATGTCACTAAACAACCCCAATCAACCATCTCGCTTCTTCACATAGTGTTTATTTTGTTCTTTCTTTGCCAACATCCATCATTAATTATCCTGCCATGTCCTGACAGCATAATGAAGTGCCAAATTTGATGATGCTGCACTGCATCAAATTCTGGGCACGATGTTTGCATGCAAACAACAAAGCTTTAAAGTAAGACTGAAAGCTGCTGGGGCGCAATTTAAGCCTTGTAATCAAAATACAGTGTCTTAAGGGTGGGATTCTCCTGCTTCCTATTTGAAGTGGAGGTGGGAGAACACACCTATCATATATCCCAAAGTTCTTCTTCAGGTGAATACAAAACAGGATGAGTGTGATATTTTTCCAGAAGCTTATTTATAGTTTGAACCTCCTCAGCATTATGTTAAGCATCTCCTACATTCTTGAGTTTTCAGGAAGTATCAGAGCAAATGCTTTTTAGCAGTCCCCCATTTGTCTTACCATTAGATTCCTATTTGTATTCAAGGGAAAGGTTGTCAGTTGTCACATTATTGTGCAAATGGTATGCAGTTATTGAAGGAACTCTTTGAAATGGCAGAGTAAACTGAATCAAAGCTTAGCAAAAGTAAAATGTAAAGTTTCACAAAAAGATGGGTGGTAGCAGTGAAGCATATTCTGAGCAAAGGCAAACTAAGCCACAATTAGCATCGTAAAAACTTACATGGGTCAGATTTGGAGAAAGTGTCTCGGTCCAGAAGATTCCTGTAACAAAAAGAAACAGTTGCACATCAAAATATTACTCAAGTTCAGTATATGACTAAATATTTTCACTGAACTGTGAACAGCAAATATCACACTGGGATGTTCCATCATATTTTGCACACTTCCTCTCTTACGCAGTTTAATCTGAAAATCCCAAACACAGTGAACTGAAAAATAACAGCACGGTAATTCACAACTTCACATAAACCATACTGACCTTGAGTTTTCATTTCCAAGTGAACAGTACAATAAGCAGATTAAAGCTCAGTGGAGGACACCGAGGACACAGAGGCAGAGGAGCCAGTGAAAACATGGGTACAAATTATAAAAACAATTTGCAACAAAAAGCATTCAGAGTATGCATCTTTGCCAAGGCTACACAATACTCTACACATATTCTTATAAGGAAAAAGGTTTTAATCCGTATCACCTGGCTGAACCTGAATTTTAGATTTTTAAAACTATTGTAGCTCTTTTATAATTTAGGCACATAAGAATTGCATTTTAATGTTGTACAATGACAAATAAAGCTATTCTATTCTATTGTAAAGGGACTCTAATTAGAGCTGCAACAATTAAATGATCGACAAAATGAGCAACTATTTGATAACTGACTAATTGAGGCATTTTTTTGAAGATTTTGTGAATTTCTTTGTCTTGTATAATAGTAAAGTTGATATATGTGCATTTTGAACTGCTAGTCAGACAAAACAAATAACTTGAAGATGAAACTATGTGTGGCATTTTCACTTTTGTTTGACTTACTGACAAAATGATTAATCAAGAAAATGTCAATGGCAAAGTAAGTAATAGTGAAAATATTTGTTATTTGCAGCCCTAAATGTAATAAAAATCACAAAATGTGAAAGTCTGAATAACTTTTTGTGCACTACCAGGTAAGTAGCTTTTACTGGAATGAACGGTTGGCTATCCTGGAATATCATATCCGGTTTTCTTAATACATCCATGTCAGCACAGAGAAAAGTGTGACACTTAACATTTAATCAGCACTATCTCAATGGTACTGGTACTGCAGAATGAAGATAAGGAGTCCAGCTGTTTCTGCCCTGCTGGCTCTGGCCCACTGCGCTAGAGCCCCCCTCTTTCACCATTACAGCAACGTGTTATCAGTCCACTGGACAGGTCCATCAGTATGCATCCACAGGCTACAGTTAATTAGATTTCAAAGCTCATTTAGCATTCATGGGTATCCATGTCATACCTTTGAGTTTCAGTCTGATTCAGAACTTGTACAGCAATATGAGAATTCAGTTCACATTCAGTCTCCCTGTGTTTGAGCCATAATTAAAAAAAAAAAGAAGCTTCAGGATAGAGCAGGGATCAGGCTGCATACTTCTGTCTGAACCCAACCCATGCCTAAGAGTGTGGCATGGGCAAACCTGACCCAGACCCAAAATGCTTAGCATATAATGTCCGAACCCAACCCGAGTTTGTACAGCGTTTTTCCCCTTATCATTAAATGAAGCAGACATTCAGGTGCTCCAACCATCTAGCTTAAAGTTTGACCTACGTGTCTGAACCCAACCCGAACCTGAACATAATTTAAAAAATTCTGTCCAAACCCGACCCGAGTCCTCAGGTATCTACTGAAATGGGCTCAGTTCGAGTAGCCACACTCTACTTCAGAATATCTACACCAGCATTTCCCACACACTAACTCCTACAACCACTTCCCCGATGATCATCCAACACCTTTTCAAGCAGCCAGACACTGACTGGCTCATTGACTCATTCAAAATAGCAGCCACAATCAGCATTAATATTATTCATACTATCTTTATTTTTAGTCTCCTCTACACTGGATGATGGGTATTTTTTGGGAGACAAAGGGGAATTTGGAGAGTTTAAATACATTAGAAGGTGCTAGCATCAACCACTTTATTCAACAAGTCAGATGAGAGATTTTCCAAAGGTCTTCAGTGATATCATTAGCATACAGTATCTAGGTAATACAAAGGCCTGTAAAAATGCCTTGTCTGTACTTCCTGATTGTGATCAATAAATACAGTAACTTGCAAGCAGTTTAGAGCAAATGCTCTTTTGGAGACAGCAGGATTTCAATGAATATAGATGAGATTTCCAAACTGAATCCACCCAACAGACATCATTCATGTATACATAATTTTGCACTCACAGGCACAAAATCTTCTGTCACAGGAATACATGAGGGGATAACAGATTAAGCTTCACTGGGTATTAGCCTTGGGCTGACCTGACTACAGTTGGAAGATTGTCAGTGTAATTATCATTGGAGATAACAAAGCCATCCACGACCAACTGTCTCTCTGTATCCACCTGTTCCTGCCTGGCATCCATTACCCTCAGACAATTAGCTTGTCCATCACCTTATCCCCTCGCTCAGTGCTCAGGAGGATCTGACACAGGGGAATACATGACATCCTCTTTCAATTCTGCACAGTGTTACTATAGAAGACCTTCATTTGAGTTGGTTAACCTCACGTTTTTCACACAGAGCATGTCAATTCTGAGAAGTGATTAATATACAGATGTATATACTGTACCATTACCAATTTATCCATCATCCTACTGTGCACTTGGCCAGAGAACAGACAATGATGCTGCAGGAAGGGTCTTAACAACTCAGATAATTCATCTGCTTTCATTTAAGTTACACAGCTTATTTCAAAAGTTAACACCTTCTCTCCACAAATCTCAGTGGGATAAGAGAAGATCATTATCCTGAAGGTTCCTTGATGAAGTTGAAGTTCATTGAAAGTAGGACAAAAGTAATTACAGTAGATCCAGCGACTTCTCATCCACACCACACACCATGATTCAGCCTCACTTAAGAGTGTAGCACCTCTGTCATTACTGACCATCTCATTTGAAATAAGTGAAGGAAGAGGGTAAACATATTTTCTTCCTAATCACTTGAACACACCATCTTCATTAATACTCTGAGTGCAATAATTCTCTCATCAAATGTGAAGCAAGAGCCTAAAGTGCATAGATGCAGAACAAACATAACAACAAGAAATTAAATGCAATTTCACTGAAAAACAAAAGGGAAATACGGGTTCAGTAGCTTTCTCTCTAATCCTCTCTAACAAAGTATTGTTTGTCTGTCAGGTTATGGGTTATGCATACCTCAATAAATAAGGCAACACAAGGAAAATCTGTAAGTGCCGAATTATCATCACAGAACCGATGCATGAGCTCTGCGATCAAATCTACAAATCCTTTGTGGCTGTATAAACATGCACTGAGAGACGGTGTCCACTACAGACCGAGTGTGATGGCGGTCCGACCTGTAAAACACGGCTGGCTCTCATTTAAAATAATATATTAGAAAGCACAGTTCCTCTCGGTCAGATTCCTGGAGATATTTTAGCTTCTCCTTTATCCATGTGGTTGATTATCAAAATAAAAAATTTGTGAAATAATTAACACCTAATTTTTCTTAGGAATGTCAAAATCATTATTGGTACAATTGAGAAATACAGTCCAATTCTGTGAAAAGTGATTTTAAATAGTCTTTAATCTGGCTGGCCAATTTCAGTTGTTGCTTAATTGGTTCTTAAAGGAACATGTCAAAAATCAGAATGTTAAATCTCTGTGTGGATTAAGGGAGGAAAAGTCCCTGTATTGCAATAAAGACAATGGGAGATGGCAGGAAGGAGAAAGTGAAGGATGGTTTGGATTTTCAGCTCTACTCTGTCACTTCACTTTCTCTCCTGCCTTTTGGCCCTCTCCTCTTTGTCTGAGTCGAGACACTGTGAGGAAAGGTCTATTTACGGTCTAATATACCATTGAGCAGCTTGTCATGGGTCAAAGAACCAAACTGCTGAAATATACTGAAGATGAGGTCAAACAACCCTTTACAAATTGGAAGAAATCCATTATTTAGACTGAAATATCAGTTTTCCTTTTGCAATTCATAATTCACAAAAATATTACATACAGTATTATGCAGGAAAGGTCATGAGATACAGGCGTGTAAAGAGCAGCACTGCTGAAATTAAAATAAACATTAAAACAAAACTCTTGCATTTTATTACTGGAGAGTTTGTCTGTATTGCATAACTGAATGCCCCAGATGGTGGCAGATGATGATACAGAGCAATGTTGCTTTTATCTGGTCTCCAAAAACTCCCCTCCATTACATTCAGCGTGCAATCTGGTCCCTTTATTAATGACAGACCCATCTGCTGACCTTCACTGTGATGGCACCTGGTGTCATCTTCTCCTCCATCTGTTTAATTATTCAGTTTCTGTTCAACCTGAGGTTGACAATACCTGCAGCAGAGCACTCCCTTGGCGGCCGTCTCGTGGGCAGTGACAGAATCTCCGCCATAAAATGACTCTTCTGCTAGTAAAATAAAAGAGAATGCACATACGCTGCGACTCAGTGTTTTGGACTGGCTTTTGGTGTTAAACTAATGTCTGACCTGGGAATAATATCACTGTTAATTGCATACTGTGACAGCTTGGGGTTTGCACAGAGAAAGGCTTTTTTTTTTTGTGAGGAGCTGAGGGAGATGCAAATGCTGATAGTTTATAGCTGCTATATAACCCTGGTAGAGCACTTTGCACTTAGCCTACTGTGAATTCATGCCAATTTCCCTTCATTTCTCTGTTGCATCTGAAAAAAACCCAAGCTGCAAATCTCTTCACACACTAACCATGTACTTCACAGACCGAAAATCTAAAACACTTTAAATTGTACACTAGGAACAAATCAAGCAGTAGATCAGTTCACAGCTCATATATATTTTTGTCTTTGAAATGACAGTAACTAATGAAGATTTAAAAAAAGAAAACTGTGCAGATTCAGTCCAGTGTGGAGTGGTGAGGGCAGGGTCCATTTCAACAGTGATCATGACAATAAAGCAAACAAAAATACTAAGCGACATGAACTGATGTTAGTGAGGGATGTGTTCTGTGTAGGACAGAACCAGAGCATGAACAAACACTAACTCGTACTCCAAGTATTCAGAGGTATGATCACCTTATGACAC